TCCCTAGACTTGATTGGTTGATTAGGGTGCGCCAAGTCCCTAGACTTACATCGTTTTCCATCGTAAATAAAATGGTTAATTAATGCCTTTCTAAAGAAACCATCGACATGGTACCAGGTTTGTTCCACTCTACGAATTTTTTGCGATTTTTCCACCAAGTTTGATGAAAAACGATTGTGACGTTTTAGCTGCCCAGAACGGACAGACAGACAGACGCCTAGTCCTATAGTATATTAGGTAGAGGTTCCACTGTAATATATACATGCTTGGGTAAGGCTGCACAGAAAAAGACTCACTATTCTTCTCAAACGAAAACCAAAACATTTATACACTTGATATGAACAAGAAGAAATCCAGGTATAATTTTTATCACCAGAAGCTTAATATTCCTCAAGAAAATGGTGGAACTTTCTCCCCAACACAGGAAAGATTTCCCACGACTTAGGAAAATTTCCCCAAGGGTTTAGACAATTTCCCAGAGGTGTGCCGGTACATGACGGCTGATGCAGTGTCTCACTGTCTAGATAAAGATAGATAGAAAAATGTATAAATAAATAACTAAAAAATAGAGAGAGAGGAAGGCGCAGAGGAGGAGACAGAGAGGGCCAGAGAAACAGACAGACAGAAAACCAGAATGACAGAATGAGTGAGACTAAGAACACAACGGCATTTTTCATGACTAAATAACCTGTCGACTGAGGTTGAATTAAGATGTAATTAAACCGTCAGTGGCTCTTTCAATGTCTTCAAATTGATGGTAGGAAAGGCGTTTAGTTATGTTTTCTGGCTAAGATGAAACACGAACTTACAAAAAAACTTTGAAGTAGAGAAATAAAGTCAGGTTATATATTAAACGAGATATATTCGAAAATAATCATGATTTTTATTATATATTTTTTTCCCCGTAAAGAAACAAGATTGACTGAGAATTGTTAGTTAAGTAAAGTGGGAGTAGGAGGAAAAAGGCGGGAAAAAACCATCAGTCAGGCTGGAAAAGGCGGGAAACTGAGCTGACAAATTGCCGTCCAGAACACGTCAACAATACCGTACAGATTAACAACAATACGGCAACAACATGCGTCAGTAATACACATGAACATCATGTCAATAACATGGTAACACAACACGTCAACACCAACACAACAACACCAACAACACTCGCATAACAACATCAGCATAACACCAACACAACAACACCAGCACAACACCAACACAACAACACCAGCACAACACCAACACAACACCAGCACAACACCAGCACAACACCAACACAACACCAGCACAACACCAAACAGCACCAATACAACACCAACACAACACCAGCACAACACCAACACAGCACTAATATAACACCAGCACAACAGCAACACAACACCAGCACAACAGCAACACAACACCAGCACAACAGCAACACAGCACCAGCACAACACCAACACAACACCAGCACAACACCAACAACACAACAACAACAAACACAACACAAAACACCAACAACACTAACACAACAACACCAACACAACAACACCAACACAACAACACCAACACAACAACACCAACACAACACCACAACAACAACACCACCACAACACCAACACAACAACAACACCACCACAACACCAATCACAACAACACCAACGTAACAACACCAACACAACAACAACACCAACACCAACACCAACAACAACACCAACAACAACACCAACAACACAACACCAACACAACAACAACAGCAACAACAACACCAACAACACCAACAACACACCAAACAACACCAACACCAACAAAAACAACACCAACAACAACAACAACAACACCAACACAACAACAACACCAACACACAACCAACACCAACAACAACAACAATAACAACAACAACACCAACAACACAACAACAACACCAACAACAATAACACCAACAACAACAACAACACCAACACAACAACAACACCAACAACAACACCAACAACAACAACACCAACACAACACCAATACAACACCAACACAACAACAACGCCAACAACAACACAACAACAACACCAACACAACAACAACACCAACACAACAACAACACCAACAACAACACCAATACAACAACAACACCAACACAACAGCAACACCAACAACAACAACAGACAACAACACCACCACCACCACCACCACCACCAACAACAACAACAACAACACCAACACAACAGCAACACCAACACAACAGCAACACCAACACAACAGAACACAACAACGACCAACACAGCAACACCAACACAACAACACCAACACAACAACAACACCAACACAACAATAACACCAACACAACAACAACACCAACACAACAACAACACCAACACAACAACAACACCAACACAACAACAACACCAACACAACAACAACACCAACACAACGACAACACCAACACAACAACAACACCAACACAACAACAACACCAACACAACAACAACACCAACACAACAACAACACCAACACAACAACAACACCAACACAACAACAACACCAACACAACAACAACACCAACACAACGACAACACCAACACAACAACAACACCAACACAACAACAACACCAACACAAAAACACCAAAACAACAACACCAACGCAAACAACAACACCAATACAACAACACCAAAACAACACCAACGCAACAACAGCACCAACACAACACCAACGCAACAACAACACCAAACACAACAACACCAACACAACAACGACACCAACAGAACAACACCAAAACAACAACACCAACGCAACAACAACACCAACACACAAACAACAACAACAACACAACACCAGCAACAACACCAACACAACAACACCAACAACACAACACCAATACAACAACACCAAACACAACAACACCAGCAACAACACCAGAACAACAACACCAACACAACATCAGCAACAACAACAACAACACAACAACACCAGCAACAACACCAACACCAACACAACAACACCAACACAACAACACCAACAACACAACACCAGTACAACAACACCAACACAACAACACCAGCAACAACAACACCAACACAACGCCAACACAACACCAGCAACAACAACACCAACACAACAACACCAACAACACCAACACAACAACACCAACACAACACCAGAACAACAACACCAACACAACACCAACACAACACCAGAACAACAACACACACACACCAACAACACCAGCACACACCAACACAACACCAACACAACACCAACACAACAACACCAACACAACACACTTCAAATATACAATAAAAACAAGTATTCAACACAACAGGGTTCTGACCATGGCGTTAATCCGAGTCGACTTAACACGGCAAGCGGCTTACAGGAACACAACACTACCAGGTGTGCGGTGGCCAGGTGTGCGGGCGGCCAGGTGTGCGGGCTGTGTTGAGGCTGACCTTATACATATACATTTAACTGATATACTTGATACTAGATCATAATTAAATTAATACCAATATTAAGTGAGAGTTCAAAAAAATTGTGCTGATAGATAGATAGAGAGAAGTAAACCTAACCTAACCTAACAGTACCCTAACCTAACCTAACCTAACAGTAACCAAACCTAACCGTAACCTAACCTAATCTAACCTAACAGCAACCAAACCTAACTCAACCTAAGCTAACCTAACACTAACCAACCTAACCTAACCTAAGCTAACAGTAACCTACACATTTTGGAGGTATTTGGCAACCACATGAACAGAAAGAAGGGTTTACTGAAGCTTATGTTTGAGTCTCTCTCTCCCTCATCCTCCAACTTTTCCTCTCACCTCCAACTCTCCCGCTCATCCTCCTCCAACCGCTCATCCTCCAACCCTCCTGCTCATCCTCCAACCCTCCCGCTCATCCTTCTGCCCTCCCGCTCATCCTTCCCTCCCGCTCATCCTCCAACCCTCCCGCTCATCCTCCAACCCTCCTGCTCATCCTTCCCCCTCCCGCTCATCCTCCCTCCGGCTCATCCTTCTCCCTCCCGCTCATCCTCTTCCTCCTCCCACCATCCTTCTCCCTCCCGCTCATCCTTCTCCTCCCGCTCATCCTCTCCTCCCTCCCATCTCCTCCCGCTCATCCTCCAACCCTCCCGCTCATCCTCCAACCTCCTGCCTATCCTTCTCCCTCCTTAGCCATAGTTTTATTTCTCGTAATTTTAATTGTTGATGAGACAGTAATTAATAACCTTATTACGATGCTCAAAGACCTTAGTTGTTAAAGCTCGGTAATAACATCATAACAACAACAACAACCAACACACACAACACACAAACACACACACAACACACACACACACACACACACACAATTGTATCTTGTTAAATTTTATGACCGCTGGAGATGTGAGAATGTATCAAACTGGTCTTCTTAAAATGCGACGAATGTGAGTCAAAATGGCGATAAAACTGTCTAAAGACTCTACCGTAACCAAATGGGCTGTTATCTCAAGTTGGGAAGAGAAGGGTACATTTTTGAGAATCCGAAATTGGGGGAGTTTTATGATCTTCTCTCTCTGCGTGTCTCTGCGTGCTCTCTCTCTCTCTCTCTCTCTCCTCACACACACATTAGCACAAGGCCCGGCTGGAGGTCAACGCCTAAATGTCACAAAGGAAGAGGGAATCTTCTTCGACTTTCCTCATCAAATACTTCAGGAGCCAGATTCCTTAACTTCCGACCTTCCATTTTATTTCCTCTCTAACTAGCCTCACGTCACGGCCTCTATATTAACCTAGAATGGAGTCCAGTTTGCTTTGTGACTGTGGTTGTTAGTCTTAGGAGAAAGAGCTCACTTGAAGATTCCTCCTCCCTCCTCCATCCTCCCCCCCACCCCAGCTGTTATCTGGTGACCTTTGTGTGGCCAGCTAGGGGTAAGTATAAGGTGTGTGGGTGTGTGTGTGTGTGTGTGTGTGTGTGTGTGTGTGTGTGTGTGTGTGTGTGTGTGTAAAGGCAAGCAACTGACCACAGGTGTAACAGTAAAGGTTATTATCTCACCTGGAGGAGGAAGGGCACGTCCTCGCGGTGCCCCTTAGGTGAAGGTTGTGTGCCCTCCGTGTTGATCCTGGAGCTGTAGGCGGAGGCGGTAGAGTCATCACCCTCTCCGTCGACTCTGTCTCCTCACCGTAGATCATCGCCCTCCTGTGTCAACAAACATCACACAGGGTTAGGTCAGGTTAGGTTAGGTTAGGTTAGGCTAGGCTAGGCTACGTTAGGGTTAGGTTACGTTACGTTAGGTTTAGGTTAGGTTAAGGTTATAGTTGTCTCTAAAATGAACCGCCGCCATCCACCCACGTTGTTTTGTGACCTTTAACCTACCAGCAACATCAACACGACACCATGAATTCTGTATCTGGTTCACGTTCTGTGTTGGAGGTTGTCAGATTAGGTTATTTAAGTTAGTTTAGGCTGTCAGTTTAGGCTGTTAGGTTAGTTGGGTTTCAGGTTAGGTTAGGTTTTCAGGTTAGGTTATGTAGGTTAGGCTAGGTTAGATTGGGTTATAGGTTGTCAGGTGATAGTGTTGTGGAGGGTAGGTTAGGTTAGGCTGTCAGTTTAGGCTGTTAGGTTAGGTTAGGTCAGGGTGTTGTGTGGATGTGTCAGAGATGATGTACTGAACTAGCGGGTGGGAGAAACATATGACTTATTGTCTCTGACTGCTTGTACCACCCTCTTCCCACTACCATTTACAAGTTTTGGTTCATAATTTACAAGTTTTGGTCAAATATTTACAAGTTTGGTTCATAATTTACAAGTTTTAGTACAAAATTTACAAGTTTAGTCCATAATTTACAAGTTGGGTCCATAATTTATAAGTTTTGATCTATAATTTACGAGTTTTGGTCCATAATTTACGAGTTTTGGTCCATAATTTACAAGTTTGGTCCATAATTTACAAGTGTGGTCCATAATTTACGAGTTTTGGTCCGTAATTTACAAGTTTTGGTCCATAATTTACAAGTTAAAACCCAATTTCAAGTTTTGTCCATCACTTACAAGTTTGGTCCATAATTTGCAAGTGTGGTTCATAATTTACAAGTGTGGTCCATAATTTACAAGTTTTGCTCCGTAATTTACAATTTTGGTTCATAATTTACAAGTGTGGTCCATAATTTACAAGTTATAACCCATAATTTACAAGTTTTGTCCATCACTTACAAGTTTTGCTCCGTAATTTACAATTTTGGTTCATAATTTACAAGTGTGGTCCATAATTTACAAGTTTTGGTCCGTAATTTACAAGTTTTGATCCATAATTTACAAGTTGAAACCCATAATTTACAAGTTTTGTCCATCACTTACAAGTTTGGTCCATAATTTGCGGTGGTCCATAATTTACAAGTTTTGGTCCGTAATTTACAAGTTTTGATCCATAATTTACAAGTTATAACCCATAATTTACAAGTTTTGTCCTTCATCTGCAAAAAAGTTCCACAGTTTACGATTTTGTTCAATTAGTTACAGATTTAGATAGACAATTTACACAAGGTAGACAATTTACAATCATTTACACAAGGTAGACAATTTATAATCATTTATTTACACCAGGTAAGTTTTCTGCCATGACCCGACAAATTCGTTCCTGGTTTATTCATTAGTTAAAGCGACGCACTCCATGGTGTCTCTCTCTCTCTCTCTCTCTCTCTCTCTCTCTCTCTCTCTCTCTCCTATTCTTCTTTTGTTTGTCTCTCTCTCTCTCTCTCTCTTCTCTCTCTCTCTCTCTCTCTCTCTCTCTCTCCTTCACTCTTTCTTAGCTAATATTCTCTTCTCACTCTGGTGTTTCTATATATCTATCTATCTTCTGTCTATCTTCTATCTACCTTCTGTCTATCTTCTGTCAGTCTTGTCTGTCTGTCTGTCTGTCTGTCTTAATTAACCTTATGTGCATTGTCGTAATTGATTGATCCACGTCGTTATCTTCACTACATTTAACTCCTGCCGTGATTAAGATGGTTGTTAGTGAATTAGCTGTTTGTTTTAATCTTGTGTTTGGTTTATCTTTCGGTTTATAGTACTGTGGGTTTATGTCCAGCAGGTAAACCAACATATTAATTGGTAGTTGATAAGTGGGGTGATTGACTGTTAACTGTTGTGTGGGTGATTGACTGTTAACTGTTGTGTGGGTGATTGACTGTTAACTGTTGTGTGGGTGATTGACTGTTAACTGTTGTGTGGGTGATTGACTGTTAACTGTTGTGTGGGTGATTGACTGTTAAATGTTGTGGGTGATTGACTGTTAACTGTTGTGTGGTGATTGACTGTTAACTGTTGTGTGGGTGATTAAACTGTTGGGTGATTGACTGTACTGTTGTGTGGGTGATTGACTGTTAACTGTTGTGTGGGTGATTGACTGTTAACTGTTGTGTGGGTGATTGACTGTTAACTGTTGTGTGGGTGATTGACTGTTAACTGTTGTGTGGGTGATTACTTTAACTGTGTGGGTATTGACTGTTAACTGTTGTGGGTGATTGACTGTTAACTGTTGTGTGGGTGATTGACTGTTAACTGTTGTGTGGGTGATTGACTGTTAACTGTTGTGGGTGATTGACTGTTAACTGTTGTGTGGGTGATTGACTGTTAACTGTTGTGTGGGTGATTGACTGTTAACTGTTGTGGGGTGATTGACGGTTAACTGTTGTGTGGGTGATTGACTTCTGTTGTGTGGGTGATTGACTGTTAACTGTTGTGTGGGTGATTGACGGTTAACTGTTGTGGGTGATTGACTTAACTGTTGTGGTGATTGACTGTTAACTGTTGTGTGGGTGATTGACGGTTAACTGTTGTGTGGGTGTTGACTAACTGTTGTGTGGGTGATTGACTGTTAACTGTTGTGTGGGTGATTGACGGTTAACTGTTGTGTGGGTGATTGACTTAACTGTTGTGTGGGTGATTGACTGTTATTTGTTGGGGTGACTGTTAACTTTGTGGGTGATTGACTGTTAACTGTTGTGTGGGTGATTGACGGTTAACTGTTGTGTGGGTGAGTGACAACTTGTGTGGGTGATTGAATGTTAACTGTTGTGTGGTGATTGACTGTTAACTGTTGTGTGGGTGATTGACTGTTAACTGTTGTGTGGGTAGTGACTGTCTGTTGTGTGATTGACTGTTAACTGTTGTGTGGTGATTGACTGTTAACTGTTGTGTGGGTGATTGACTGTTAACTGTTGTGTGGGTGATTGACTGTTAACTGTTGTGTGGGTGATTGACTGTTAACTGTTGTGTGGGTAGTGCTTGTTGTGTGGGTGATTGATGTTAACTGTTGTGTGGGTGATTGACTGTTAACTGTTGTGTGGGTGATTGACTGTTAACTGTTGTGTGGGTGATTGACTGTTAACTGTTGTGTGGGTGATTGACTGTTAACTGTTGTGTGGGTGATTGACTGTTAACTGTTGTGTGGGTGATTGACTGTTAACTGGGGTGATTGACTGTTAACTGTTGTGTGGGTGATTGACTACTGTTGTGGATTGCTGTTAATGTTGGTGGGTGATTGACTGTTACTGTTGTGATTGACTGTTAACTGTTGTGTGGGTGATTGACTGTTAAATGTTGTGTGGGGATTGACTGTTAACTGTGTGTTCTCTAAACTGTCCTGTACAGTGTTTGGCGGTGACAGGTTGGTATGCTGCTGGACCTGTCTGTTACGTGTATGGTCGCTGCTGGACCTGTCTGTTACGTGTTGCGGCTGCTGCGACCTGTCTGTACGTGTTATGGTCGCTGCTGAACCTGTCTGTTACGTGTTATGGCCGCTGCTGGACCTGGTTCGTTATGGCTGCTACTGCCTGTTGTGTTATGGCCGCTGCTGGACCTGTCTGTTACGTGTTATGGCTCGTTGCTGGACCTGTCTGTTACGTGTTATGGCCGCTGCTGGACCTGTCTGTTACGTGTTGGTGGCCGCTGCTGGACCTGTCTGTTACGTGTTGCGGCTGCTACTCTGTTGCATGTTATGGCCGCTGCTGGACCTGTCTGTTACGTGTTGGTGCCGTTGCTGGACCTGTCTGTTACGTGTTGGTGGCCGCTGCACCTGTCTGTTACGTGTTGCCGCTGCTGGACCTGTCTGTTACGTGTTATGGCCGCTGCGGACCTGTCTGTTACGTGTTATTGCTGCTGGACCTGTCTGTTATGTTAAGGCCGCTGCTGGACCTGTCTGTTACGTGTTATGGTCGCTGCTGGACCTGTCTGTTACGTGTTATGGCCGCTGCTGGACCTGTTCTGCGTGTTATGGTCGCTGCTGGACCTGTCTGTTACTGTGTTAGCTGGCTGCTGGACCTGTCTGTTATGTTATGGCTGCGCTGCTGGACCGTCTGTTATGTTGCGGCTGCTGGACCTGTCTGTTACGTGTTATGGACCGCTGTTGGACCTGTCTGTTACGTGTTATGGCCGCTGCTGGACCTGTTCACGTGTGTTGGTCGCTGCTGGACCTGTTCGTTACGTGTTGCAGTCGCTGCTGGTTGTTGACCTGTCTGTTACGTGTTATGGTCGCTGCTGGACCTGTCTGTTACGTGTGTTGGGGCCGCTGCTGGACCTGTCTGTTACGTGTTAGCTGCTGACCTGTCTGTTACGTGTTATGGTCGCTGCTGGACCTGTCTGTTACGTGTTGTGGTCGCTGCTGGACCTGTCTGTTACGTGTTATGGCCGCTGCTGGACCTGTCTGTTACGTGTGTGTTATGGTTGCTGACCTGTTGTTACGTGAGGTCGCTGCTGGACCTGTCTGTTACGTGTTATGGTCGCTGCTGGACCTGTCTGTTACGTGTTATGGTCGCCTGGACCTGTCTGTTACGTGTTGGTCGCTGCTGGACCTGTCTGTTACGTGTTATGGTCGCCTGGACTTCACGTGTTGGCCGCTGCTGGACCTGTCTGTTACGTGTTATGGTCGCTGCTGGACCGTTCGTTGTGCGGTCGCGGCTTGTGGTTGCGGCCGCGACCTGTCTGTCGTGTTATGGTCGCTGCTGGACCTGTTCATATGTGCGCAGTCGCTGCCCTGTCTGTTACGTGTGGCGGCTGCTGCTGACCTGTCTGTTACGTGTTATGGTCGCTGCTGGACCTGTCTGTTACGTGTTATGGCCGCTGCTGGACCTGTCTGTTACGTGTTATGGTCGCTGCTGGACCTGTTCGTTATGTTATGGTCGCTGCTGGACCTGTCTGTTACGTGTTATGGTCGCTGCTGGACCTGTCTGTGTGTTATG